AAACAGGCAGGACGGAAATTTGCAGACGAATGTCAGGTGGTCCTAGAACCACAAATTAAGAGCCGCCTATTTTAAACAGTGTATCTTTCTAGAATATTTGTCTATGATCCAATTTACCCAAAGCTTTCCTATGAGCAACTTCACGGTTGTGTATTGGATACTTCAACAAGGACTCAGAATTGAAATCATTTTAGGTTTTAACAAAAGTTGCAAAACAGACCAACAAGGTATGCCTGAGGAAAAAGAAAAAAAAGTTGCAAATAACCATAGTATGACCTTACCTGGAAAAGAAAACAAAAGTTGAAAAAATAGGATAGGTTTCCTAGATTCTTTATCTAATAGAATCTCCAAAAGTTAACATCATACACATAGGTATAATTATTGAAACTATTGACACAAATACTACTAATACCGAATAATAACTTTACTCAAATTTTGTCAGTTGTCCCATTCATGTCCTTTTTTCTTTTTGAGACGAAGTCTCACTCTTGTCCCCAGGCTGGAGTGCAGTGGTGTGATCTCTGCTCACTGCAACCTCCGCCTTCCGGGTTCAAGAGATTCTCCTGCTTCAGCTTCCAGTAGCTGGATTACAAGTGTGCGCCACACACCTGAGAAATTTTTGTATTTTTTAGTAAAGACGGGGTTTCGCCATGTTGGCCAGGCTGGTCTCGAACTCCTGACCTCAGGTGATCCACCCGCCTTGGACTCCCCAAAGTGCTGGATTACAGGGAGTGAATCACGCGCTCCCGGCCCCATGTCGTTTTTCTATACAGGGAGCCAATTCCCGGATTTCACATTACGTTCCTGCTCTGGCACCCAGGCTGGCATCCACAGTCTGGGGGAGCGATCCTCCCGCCTTAGCCTCCTGCTTAGCTGGGACTACAGGCGCGCGCCACCACCTCCCTGGTGCTGTTGCTTTAAAATGGTGAAACCCCGTCTCTACTAAAAACAAAAAAATTAGCCGGGTGTGGTGGTGGGCGCCTGTATCCCAGCTACTCTGGAGGCTGAGGCGGATAATCCCTTGAACCCGGGAGGCGGAAGTTGCAGTGAGCCGAGATCGCGGCACTGCACTCCAGCCTGGGCAACAAGAGCGAAACTGCAGTCCAAAAAAAAAAAAAAGAAATTATTTTAATCTACGCCTGTACTTGAGGGATTTGTGTTCTCGGGCAAATTACCAAACGTCTCTGAGTCACTTTTCCGTCAAATAGACGTGATGCGGTGAAGAACCAATAAAATTTGGAATGGGTTCGGAAACTTCGAAGGAAGGTGAATACATTTTCTTTTCTTTTTCTTTTCTTTTTTTTTTTTTTTTTCTTTCTTTTTTTTTTTTGAGACAGTCTCGCTCTGTCGCCCAGGCTGGAGTGCAGTGGCGCGATCTCGGCCCACTTCAACTTCCGCCTTCTGGGTTTAAGCGATTCTTCTGCCTCAACCTGCCGAGTAGCTTGGACTGCAGGCGTCAGCCACCACGCCTGGCTAATTATTGTATTTTTAGTAGAGACGGGGTTTCACCGCGTTGGCCAGGCTGGTCTTGAACTCCCGACTTTAAGTGATCCGCCCGCCTCGGCCTCCTAAAGTGTTGTCATTACAGGCGTGAGTCCCCGCGCCCGGCCTGTGAATACATTTTTCTTATTGTTTGACGCTGGGCCATACAATTCACTTTTTCGTTGTCCAGATTAAAACCAAAACAAAGCAATTAGGAGCGCGTTGTTGTCGAGGTGTTTTGTTCCAAGGTAGGACCCGTAGCTTCTCCGCCGTCCCGCAGCTTGGAGTAACGGCTTCTGATTGGACAATGCGCGTCCGCCTCGACGCAGGAAGGCCGCCTCATTGGTCCGCGCAGTCGGGCTCCGGCGGCTTGTCTCTTTAGCGCTCAGGGCGCTGACCCACTGCTCTTCCTCTTAAGTGAGTGCTTCATTTCTTCCGACGCCCGGAGCTGCTGGCCCAAAGGGATCCGGAGCGAGCTAGGCCGGGTAACTGCATTGGGGTCCACTGGGAAGCAGCAGCGGCCGTGGACTACGGGAGGGAGTGGGGTTGGCGAGCTTGGGTAAAATTCCCTCTTCTTCGCGCTGTCTCGACTCCCAAGGTCTCCACGTCTTCCTCGTCCCCTTTCGTCTTCTGGCTCCACCTCCCTCGGCCTCTTCCAGGTTTCCCCCAAAAGCTCCACACACCCCTCCGCTTCCCTTCCGGGGGCCCCGCCTCCTCTGCTCTTGTCTCCACGGGGCCCGCCCTCGTCTCTTCCCCGCAGCGGTCCCTCCCTCAGGAGCGCAACTCCTTCCCTCCTCTCCGCCGCCGGTGTGCCCCTCGCTTGGCCCATTCCTGGTACCTCCTTGTCCCTTAAGTTTGGTGTTGTCCCTTCCTGGCACCTCCACCTCTCTCTCCATGATCCCTGTCTCCTTTGCATCTGACTGCTGTAGTCCTCCGATTCTCCCGTTGACCCAGGCTGCTGGTTTAGCAAATTGTGCAGCGGCATTGTGCTGGGCGTTGGGGATGGAGACAGTGACTAGAGGTCCCTACTTTCAAGAACTACTTGCCCCGTGGGAGAGAGTCACTTTGTAAATGGGGTATGATAGGCCTGGTGATAAGTCTTTAAGGCAGCATAATATAGGACTGCTTAGGGGAAGGAGTACTAGAAGGGTTCCTCCCCACCAGCCGCGTTCTTGCTGAATTCTCAAGCAGGCCTCTGGGGGCTAAGCTGCATCTTTTCATCAGAATGCCCTTGGCTGCTTCTGATGCAGAAGCCTGGTCCTTTATTATTTTAGTTTTTATTTTTGAGACAGAGTCTCGCTCTGTCTCCCATGCTGGAGTGCAGTGGTGTGATCTCGGCTCACTGCAACCTCCGCCTCCCAGGTTCACAGGATTCTCCTGCCTCAGCCTTCCCAGTAGCTGGGATTACAGACGCCCCCCACCACATCTGGCTTTTTTTTTTTTTTTTTTAACCAGTAGAGACAATTTCACCATGTTAGCCAGGCTGGTCTCGAATTCCTGGTCTCAAGTGATCCTCCCGCCTTGGCCTCCCTAAGTGCTGGGATTACCAGCGCGATCCAGGCCATCATGGTCCTTTACACCCTTGGGAGTTATTAAAATTTTTGTATGGGCTCTTCTTTTAACCTGTCAGAATAGGTAGGGTTTCAGAGACCATCCATCCAAGCCCTCAGGGTGTTGTCTGAGAGGTTGAAGGCTGCAGTGACAGAGAGTGATTGCCTAGACAAATAGTGACTCAGCATTGTACTCTTGGTGCCTCTTTTTGAAGTTTTTCCTGAGGATAGTTACCCACTTTTTCAATCAGGCAGCAGTCTTAGCTGGTGGGAAAACTAAAAGCACAGATAAAACCACTACTCAGTAGATTCCTCCAAGCCAGTGCAGGTGGCTTGTACCCTTACTCAGACGAGAGTAATGTATACCTCAGGCTTTTGGAGTCAGGAATCTCTGGGGTCTGGTCCCAGCTCCACCATTCGCTGTTAAGCTTGGTGAAGATACTTCCTTTATCTGAGCTTCAGTTTCACCTTCTCTTAAACAGGGTGATAAACCCTAACACACAGGGTAATGGTAGGGATTTGTTAAGATTCTGGTTATGAAAATAATCACTTTTAGTGTGCTGTAAATTGCAGTATCTCAGCACAGGCGAGCCCCCTATACTTCAGATTCATGTCTGTCTAGCTCAAATCAGCAAAGAACCTGATATGCTTTCTTTTTTCAGGCACCATGACCACCCTTGATGATAAGTTGCTGGGGGAGAAACTGCAGTACTACTACAGCAGCAGTGAGGATGAGGACAGTGACCACGAGGACAAGGATCCAGGCAGAGGTGCCCCCGCCAGCAGTTCTGTTCCTGCAGAGGCTGAGCTGGCAGGCGAAGGCATCTCAGTTAACACAGGTACTGAGAAACGCTGGGCTCTGGGAACAGGCTTAAAAAAATGTACATTAAATACATATTAATTAGAAGTCTCCTGATCATTTTTAACTCTGGTCCCACTTTCAGAGATAACCTAGTCTTTTCATTATGTGTGCTTCTAGGCTTTTAGTGCACAATACAAATGTATCTGCATAGCAGCATGGTAATGAACACAGACTGGCCTGGATTTGAATCCTGCATCTCATATTAATAGTTTGATATCTCATAAATCACAAGTATGAGTATATGGGTAGTACAAATTCCTAAAAATGGCATATTTACACTTGTACCTTTTAATATTGTCAAATTGCTATCAGTTGAGGTGGCAGTAATTTATAGTTTAATCAGCAATCTGTGTTTCTCCATATACTTGTCCTGCCACTGTGTCATGAAACTCATTGATCTTTGTTATTGTAGTAATTCATTGTAGGTTTATTTCTGCCCCCGCCACCTTTTTTTTTTTTTTTTTTTTTTTTTTTTTTTGAGACAGTCTCGCTCTGTCGCCCAGGCTGGAGTGCAGTGGC